AAACTAAAAAGCTTTGTACAGCAAAGGACACCATTAGTAGAACAAAAAGGCATCCTACAGTATGGGAGAATATATTCGTAAATGACATTTCTGACAAGGGGTTAACATCCAAAATACATAAAGAACTCACATGCCTCAACACCCAAAAAGCAAATAAGCCGATTAAGATATGGGTGGAGGATCACTGCTCCAAAGAACAGACCCTTCTCCAAAGAAGAAATTCAGACGGCCAACAGGCACATGAAAAGATGCTCTACATTGCTAAGTATTAGGGAAATGCAAATTAAAACTACAATGAGATATCTCCTCACACCAGTTAGGATGGCCACAATCCAAAAGACAAGAAACAACAAATGCTGGCTAGGATGCGGAGAAAGGGGAACTCTCCTACACTGTTGGTGGGAATGTAAATTAGTTCAACCACTGTGGGGAGCAATATGGAGGTCCCTCAAAAACTAAAAATAGAAATACCATTTGACCCAGGAATTCCACTCCTAGAAATTTACCCAAAGAAAACAAGATCCCATATTCAATGAGATGTGCACCCTTATCTTTATCCCAGCACTATTTACAATAGCCAAGATATGGAAGCAACATAAGTGTCCATCAATAGATGAATGGATAAAGAAAATGTGGTACATATACACAATGCAATATTATTCAGCCATAACAAGAAAAGAAATCTTACCATTTGCAACAACATGGATGGAGCTAGAGGGTATTATGCTCAGTGAAATAAGCCATAGAGATAGACATGTACCAAATGATTTCACCCATTTATGGAGTAGAACAATAAATCAAAACTGAAGGAACAAATAGCAGCAGACTCACAGACTCCAAGAAGGGACTAGTGGTCACCAAAGAAAAGGCATTGGGGAGACTGGGTGGGGAAGGAGGGAGAACGGGATTAAAGGGCTTTATGATTAACACACATAATGTATGGGGGTCACGGGCAAGGCAGTATAGCAGAGAAGAGAAGTGGTGACTCTACAGCACCTTATTATGCTGATGGACAGTGACTACAATGGGATGGGGGTGGACTTGATAATATGCGTGAATGTAGTAACTACAATTGCTCATGTGAAACCATCATAAGTTTATGCATCAGTGATACATTAATAAAAAAATGTACTGTGAAGTTAGTGCTGCCTTAGCTAACAGTGCCTAGCTTCTACTTCCACCATGCCAAAAAAATAAATAAATAATAAGTCATCCTAGATCTGTAAGAAAAACAAGAACATAAGAGAAATATAATACCATATTCCAAGTTACCTTGTTACCTATTTGGATTGCTGTGATATCTTTGAATTCATGGCATCACTGCAAGGCAGAGAATAAATAAAACAACCAACCAACCAACCAATGAAATGCATGAACTTTTATTAGTCCTATGATGCCATCACTAATAAAGACATTTCCAAAAAACTAAAAGATGATCACCAAATCATAATTAGTTTCACTGAAGTCAGAAGTTTCTCTTCCCACTCAAAATCAATTGTCATACTGGAGATACAAGCAAAGACTGATTGACAGACTAGGCATCCAGATACTGATTTTAAAGGCACATTTTCTAAAAATGTGGTTCAGTTACACACTGTATCATCTCTGTAACTGTTTCAAACTATGTGCCATACTTGCCAAGCTATGCATTTGCCAATAATGAGATATCAGAGAAGACTAAACAAGATTATATGATAAACATTTGTACCCTCAAATGCCCAACAACTAGGAACTTTCAGGATTGTGCGTTAGTAATAATTCCTAGGTGTCCTAGGGATCATATCCTTAGAAGATCATATTATGGTATGCATTACTTCATTTTTATGCTGGTTGTATAATCTATACAGAACTGGTGTGCAAAAACTCCTCAAAGAAGGAATTTCAGAAATGAGTTACCAGCTGCAGCCTCTTAAAAGTTATGACTTACCAGAAAATAACATCTGGCAGCAGATATATCAAAAGTCTTTCATAAAACTAAGGTCTCCTTTATAAAACTAAAGGTGTGATATCAGACAGATATACCTGGGTTCAATGCTACCATATACTGATAATGTGATCTATGTACCTTTCTGAGCCTTAAATTCCTCATCTGGAAAATGGGAAAAAATAATAAAAATAAAACCTACTTTATAGGAATATATGAAGATAGCTGATATATCATATAACATATTTGGCTCAATACACTGCATATAACACCTCAAATAATTTTTTTCTTTCTTAAAACATTTGTTTTTCCTTTTCTACCTCATATACCCTTTTTATTTAAAAAAGGTACTTCTAATGATCCCTAAGGATATTATACTCTAAGAATTTGGATTCTGAGGATCTCTAAATATTCTAGTCCATGAACTATTTTACCACAGTGATATGGGACACATGAACTTTACTCCACAAATTAGAAATGAGAAATATGAGAGATTTGTGAGTCATTAGTTGAGACAATTTTCAACTACTACCACTTCCTACAAGGCTAAAATATTAAGAAAAAGCACTCTTTCCTCCAAGTCCCAAAATAAACGCTATTCCAAAAGCTATTGGACTGATGCCTCTCTGTGAATACTTCCTCCTAAAGCAGATGATAGCTGGAAGCACCAGAATCCTACACTCTAGGTATAGTATGACTTGACTTTATTAGGCATGGTGTCTCAGATGACACATGCTATTCTTCATTTAAGAATGAATTCAAAACCTAGATTCAAAGCTATTCACAGAAAAAGAAGCATACAATCTTTTCCCTTCATTGTGTATATATGTGCATGTGTGTGTTTGTATATATGGGAATTAATTAGAATGTAACCAATAATGACAGTTTGGTTTAATGTGTATTAGTATAGATTTTACAGAAACACATGAAGACTTTTTGTATTTTTTTAAATTATTAAACTGTTTTACAAAAACTCTCATATACAACACTACATACTATTTGGTTTTCCCAATGTTACAGCTGTGACTCCTACTGTCCAACCCTTCACCGTCGACACCCACACAATTTCTCCTCCTAAGCATTCAGCTGGAACACCGCCGTAAATGTTGTGAAGGCACTCTGCTGCCACATTTCCTCATGTCTTAATGATGAATATGTGAGAACCACTACAGGAAATGTGGCCTTACCCTGATCTCTGTATTGCACTTAAAATAACATCAAACCTCTACGACATATTTGGTTTGGGTGAGCTATGATCATATTCAGATATGAAATATCATTATAAAAATGACAAATGCCCTCTTACTATGCTGATGGACAGTGACTGTAATGGGGTATATGGTGGGGACTTGAAAATAGGGGGGGAATGTAATAACCACAATGTTACTCATGTGAAACCTTCACAAGATTATTTATCAATGATACGTTAATAAAAAAAAATGTGGTACATACAAAAAAAAATGACAAATGCCCTATGGTATCATGGTTTCCTAAAACAATGCATATACTAATTCGTTTCTCTATATGAAAATGTTTTCACATAGTCATGAGGTAAAGAAAAGCTCAACATTTACAACATTAACCCAAATTTGCTTTCAAATTTAACTGTCAAAAGAAAATCCCAGACAGCCTTCTGTTGCCTAATAAGTATATCAAAGATGACAGTACCAAATCTATTATAACAACAACGTCCGAGGTTTTTTTCTTCCTTTGACAGACACCCAGAATTTAATACAAACCCCAATTTTAACACACATACTTTATTCCTACTAATTCTTCATGAGAATCTGGCCATATCATAGCAAATTTGTTAACATTAGCACACTTTGGGAAAGAAGTGGCCTATTACTCAAATAAGAAAAGCAAAACAAAGTTATGGGAGAAAGGAGAAAGTTGACACAAAGAAAGAACTTCATACACTAATAAAATAGTTCATTTTCATATTCTGAACATTATTCTTTAAAATTTAAAACATACTTGTTATTCATTTTAACCAATGATTATCAGCAAGTTTGGTGATTATTAGCAAATTTAGTGTGGGTTATCAAGAGTTCCTGACATTCAAACCCTTCTGTCATTTTACCAAGACTTTAAAAAAAAATCTGTAGTTAAAGAAATCCTTGCACATGAGAAAGAGAGAGACACCTCTTTAACATTAAACATAGAGACAAGATCTGATGCAAAGAGTATGTTCACCTACCCAAGGACTCATAGGTAAAATTATAAAAGATGTTTAACTGCCCATGTGGCAATGATACTATGTAGATAAAAGTGACAAAAATGTAGAGAAAACTTCCTCAAAAAAATGTTAATACCTCCACAAGAATTAAATTGTTAAACCTGTTTGAAAAAGAAAATCCAGAATAAAGCCTACTAAAATTTGTAACAGTACAAAAGAATTAATAAACAAATGGTCCTATTTCCATAAGCTGGGTGGGACCTTTCCTCACCGAGGCCACTGAACTTTGAAAGCTGCTTATGCAGAGGCATTCTCTAAATACATCGATATGAAGTTCTAGAGACTGAAAACCGATAAACATCAGCTAGGAGAAAAAGGAGTGAGATGAAAGGTCAGAGACAAGAACACAATTCAAAGCTATTAAATAATTAATTTGTACTTAATCAAAAAATGTAATGCATATGAATAAGGCAACAAAAGCACACTCACACACACACACACAAAAAAAAAACATATTCCAAAAGATAGGAAGAAAAATCTACAAGATTCAAATTCTGATCAAATATATTCAGTAAAAAACAGATATAGGAAGGGGTATAGTAGTTCATTATGAGTCTCTACTTGAAATTCCTGAAATGCTACTTCAGTACAAAACCTGTCTAACACCTTCTCTTCCTGGTGTTCTAACAAGTCATTTTAAATGCATTTTACAAGCTCAGGGCAAGCTGTGGAATGAGGAGTACTATATACAACTGGAAACCTGTCCTCTTTAGCTCCAAACCTTCCCCTGAGAAAACAAAAGTCTTAGCAGAAAAGGGATTAAAACTCACAGTGGGCAGAGGAAGTGGTGGACAGAGGAACAAAGGTGAGAGAGAGAACTGAGAATTCCACAATTACCTGAAATTTTCTCCCCGTTCTCCCTCTTCACTGTCAGTCATCTGTGTTACAACTTCAGAATCCAACCAAAAGACACTGTCATCTCCTGAAGTGCTACTCTCACTTTCAGTCTCCATCCTGTATTCAAAAAATTGAAACCTCAAGGCATAGAATAAAGAACACCAGTGCTCAGGTTGTTCGGCTCCATTTATGTATACTCAAGTGTGTGGCTGATACACACAGTCTATTATGCGCTAGTTTAATTACAGTTGGGGTAAAGACAGGAAATCACATACAGCACACTCACTGCATCAGACTACTACACCTGTGACACCAGGACCCCTCCCACTGCCTTAGGCTCTATGACCTACATAACCAAGCCCAGAACCCAAATGAAGGTGACTTTTCACTAAGTATTTACTGAATAACTATTTTCTCTTCCCAAAGTTTCCAGTTAATAAGTTGAAAGTAGACATTTTCAAAATGCAGACCTTTCTCATTTACATCCTTTTGCTATCTCAGACTTAAGGAAGGCAAAGAGAAAACTAGAAAGGACAACACTGCAAAGGTATCCTGGGCCAAGCACAATGAGAGGCAGTTAAAGGTCTCACAGTTAAGGAGGACCACAGTTTACAGAGCAGATAAGCATGGTCTAGGGACCTGCCCAACTTCATGCCTTCTAATATGTGCCATCTTTCCTTCCCCTCCATAGTAACTGCCAAGTACACCTTTGCTCAACTATCCAAAGTGGGACATAACAGCCAGGCATGGCTATGGCCTTTTAAAGAAAAAAAATGAGTACTATTCAAGTTAAAAGACACTGACAATTACATCAAATAAAAACATGCAACATTTTTACAGATAATTTAAACTGCAGGTGCCCATAGCAGCGATAAAATGATTTGCTGGGAAACAGGTGCTACATCTGTAACACTGGTAACAACACAACTGTTACTCAGAAAACAGTAGTCATTCTGGTCCCAACACAGGCATGTCAGATATTTGTGGCTGTCTGTCTTTTACTGAGCAGCCACAAATGGCTAAAAGCCCTGATTTTCTATTAAATCTGACCAGCAAAAAAATTTTTAAAGGCATCTACTGTAAGACTCTTGAATTTTCAAATTTTAAAATAAAGAAAATAAACCCTCTGGCTAACTTTGTTTATACAATAACTTTTTCCTTTCTATTAACCTTACTGCTTCAAAAATTTATATGCTTTCACCTACTGACTGTGGTTATTAAATGCATTCCTGCCTCAACCCAAAATATGATGTGGAATGGATTCAGAAAAACTGAACAATTTACAGAGATATCTTGCAAACTAGCCTAATAATTTCCTCTCAAAACAAATCCATACATATTTAACTTAGGCTAAGCTTTCATAGGAACATTAACTGCCATCAATTGCTACACCTTCTATCTAGAATCATCATCTCATAGTTAAAGAAAAACACTATGGCAGTTTAGCTAATCGGACTCCCTCAACACAAATTTTAACTACTGTGCTACAGTATGCTTGGTACCAGTAATTGCAAAATAAATTTTTTAACACTATATAGAGTGATCCCACTATTTTAAAAAATAGTATTTTTCAATATATACATATCTAGAAAAAAGCCTGAGAAACTATACAGCAAAAGCACTGATAAATTTTTCCTTTTTTTAAATGATAATACGTTGTTTTTAACATAGAAAAGTATTAGCTATTTAATTTTCTAGTTTTAAAGAAGTTAACTACAAGAATTAAGATTCACTCCACAGTTTCTTCCTTGAATAGCTGCTGGATGCTGCATTTTACTATCTCAGTCTTCCAAATAAAATTAAAGTAGTCAAAGGCTCCATAGAACAACTCATACATCTAATCAGCCATGGGCACAAAGAACAAGCAAGTCATATTAATTTCATCATTCCAATGGCACACTCAGTAAATAAAAAAATACTTGCTTTATCAGACACATTAGAATCTAGAGATCTAGGAAATCCTCACTGGCTAAGCAACCATGTCAATGGTCTGAGAGACTACTCATTTTTGCTTTCAATCTACAAATAAAATAAATCAAAACTATATACTGTTAAAACTCTGAAACAAGTTATAATTCTTCTGTAAATCTACATGTAGAGGTTAAATGAAAATACTGGTAAGAGGTAATGAGTAAAAGCACAATATTGAACATTAATTAAGCCACAACTGATTTGGTAAAAGGTTTTGTAAAGGTAATGAAGGCTGAGTGTTCTTTAAATAATACTGAATTAAAGGAAATATTTCTAAGCTAGAATTTAGATTGAATATGTCACAGTCAGTGAGATACAGAGCAAGAAAACCACATTACTTCAAATTTAGGGCCCTGAAAATTGTGGTCTTGGGAAAAACTGAACTATATGTACAGTACTTCTGGTAACTGCTGTAACTGGACCTCTTCCTAATGCTAATGATACTGCAAAGAAATACGTTAACTTTGAACTTAATGAATAATAACCAAGGGAGAAAAAAAATGATCCAACTAGACTTCATCTCAGCAGAAGGTCTGGGAGAAGTATGGGAGGGACTAGGAGGAAATCACTAGGGAGAAAAATTGAGGCTAAGCAAAACAAAGGGGGGAACAGGTTGTAAACTCCGCATACTTGAAAAGCTCAGGGTATTGTGTAAACTTAATAATACTCATCCCACTGAACTACCTGAAAAAAGGGCAGTAAATTGAATGTTTTCAATCTACTGTTTTACCTACTGGTGTCCTTCCCTAGATAGCTCACTCTACTATAGAATGATTAGAGACTGAAGTAATTTTAGCAGCTTGCTATTTATCTTATTCTGCCTGCTCCCTTGCTATCACCCAGAGAAGATGACAGGAGTAAAACTGGGAGTCAACAATAACTAGACTTAAAGTATTAGACAACATTCAGCGACTTATAAAATTACAAGTATTTTTCTCAAATCACAATCATCCTCTCCTGAAATAATGGAAGCTAAACCCATACTTCTAGACATTAATCTGAGATAAGTTTTTTCTGATATATCTTAAAACAAGTATACTTCTATTCCTGGTATCAGTAACTCTTCAGTTCCTTTTTCCTAGAAAGAAGAATTAAATTCACAGCTGTTCACTTAAATTTATTTCACGAAACAGGCTTTTTTTCCATGACCTTTTTTTATGGAAATTTGTTCTGCTAAATTTTGTCAATTGCAAAAATAATAATAAAGTGAATCTTTTGAAGAATAAACTATAATAAAGTAATTAATATATGTAACTCTTTAAAAGATACAGACATATTTAAATTTCAATGATACATTAATTAGAAATTGAGTATCTGTCTATTTCTTCTGGTTTTACTAGAGCCAGACATTTAACATTATATCCTGTGGTGCTTTTCATCTTATGTTTTCAAAAGTATAATGAAAGCAAAATATATTTTTTGATGTCTCAAACAGTACTTGCAAAATAATAAAGCTGTTTTTTTGAGTGTCAATTCAGAATCTTCATATTTTATCACTATTCCCTTGTGGTAAGAAAAGTATGTTAGATACTGAACTAAACTGGTGCTTACTGATAATGGCAATCCATTAAGCTACTGTTTCACTGTTATAAGCAGCATTCAACATATATATACAAAGTAAATGAAAACAACAGTACTACTTTTGAGTATCCATAGTCTCCATTTTAGAAATAACGCTGTTTTTTTCTTATTTAGTGAAGCTCAGATGATTCAAATTCCTTCTGTATCACTTATTACCTGTGTGAATCAGGCAATTTACGTAAGATCTCTAAATTCAGTCTCCTCATCTCAACAGAGTAACCATGCCCAATCATAACTGCAATTGAAGTCAGTATATATAAAGTAAGAACACAACACAGCATTGTAAATGGTAAGTGCTAAAAAAAAAAGGTATAATAAAAAATGTTTCATGAATCTATTTTTTGGAACTACTAAAAAATGTTAATCTCCTTTAGAAAGGAATCAAAATTCCAGTTAGGACAGGAACTCTTCTAAATTACTAAGCTATCATTATCTCACCTAAAGAAATCAGTCAATAATCCCTTAATATCACAAATATCCAGTCAGTGTACAAAGTTTTCCAATGGTCACAAGTTTTTTTTTTTAATAGTTGGTTTGTTTGAATCAGAAAGTCAAATTGCTATGTTGCATACCTGAAACCAATATAATATTGTATATCAACTATGTTTCAATTAAAAAAAAACCCAGGAAAGCAGAATTATCAAATATATAAATAGAGTCAAAATTCAACAAAAAACATGTACACACGGTATTTTAGTTAATAAGTCTCTTAAGTCCCTTCTGGTTTAAAGGTTCCCTTTTTTTTTTTTTCATATATTTGTTGAAGAAACCAGGTCCTATAGCATCTCTAGCATTCAGGAACATGCTGATTACATCCCAATAGTGATGTTCTACAGGCTCTTCTTACTCTCATATTTTCTTCATGGGAATTAATTCTTAAAAGCTATACTGAATGCTTTAGTTTGATGTTTTCTGCCTTATCTGCCAGCCTTCTAAAATAAATGTTAATCAAATGAACAGCAAAATAGTAAAATGATAGATAATACAAAGACAAAAGTAACTAAAATGCCACAGATAATATATTCTTGCAATGACTTAACCAGGTACTTGGGGGCGGGGGTGGGTGGGGGGTGGGCAGCTATCCAAGCCACAGCACACGGAGAGGTCAAGTGTCATTTGGTTTCTACTCTAGATGGGCTCTGCATCCTCCACAACACTGTATGGCATGTCTATGTCCTCCCATGCGATTTATAAAAGGACAATGGCAAGTATCTGCACACATCTGAACAATCTGTGACTAATACTAAAACTCAATCCCTTATGTTTGTTACTAATCAGTTCCTACAATTTTAGAAGACGATGTAAGAGCTGTGTGAGCTATGTAAAATCCTTAATGTAGAAAGCAGAAACGTTAAAATCACTCTGATTTGGACAGGAAGAAGAAACAACTGATATCATGGAAGAAATTATCAATCACATGAAAAAAACTGAAATTCAAGACTATCCCATTCTAGTCCACTAAACTTAGCTTATCAACTCTTAAATGTTTGAGATTAAATTAGCAGGAATCAAGTGGTCAAAGATTTATCTGTAACAGGCTGCATACCAGAAAAGATATGAATTCATGATATAAAATAACACAGAAGACTAAATATAAATAAAGTTTCATGAGCTTGGAAAGCAGACAGGTTCAT